AAATATGATCTGATATGTTTTAAATTCGATAAGATATCATTCCGAGATATTTCTCTCACAAATAGATTTCTGTGAGGCAACCAGAGTTGCTGTTTTGGTTAGATTTAGGCACTATTTAAGGGCTCTTATAAACTCTAAAGATGTATTCTTCCTTTATTATTATTTTTAGAGTTCTATTCAGTAGATTATGATTCTCTAAACTTTGATGTGTCTATCCGTCAGCTGTTGGGAAAGCGCTAATATGACAAGAGAGAAGATTGAAACTGTACAAAAGAGAAAGACTCAGACACATTTACGATACCGGATTGGGAAGATCACGACTCCGATATTGTGCAAAAAAAGGTTTCGCTGATAAAAGCAATATTAACAGATATGATAATAAAATTAGAAATTTCATCTTTATTTTGAATTTTTATCAATTAATTACATAAATAAAAAATCAACTATTTTATCATATTAAAATTAATTAAGCGAAATATTATAAAAAATTATATTCAAAACATCTTAAAAAATTTTTATTATAATTTTATGTATACAATTTGAACCTTGTGTCATATGTCTAGAATATGTCATATACTTAGATTTTTTTATTTTTCTCTGAAGAGTGAACAATATATCAGAATGTTGTGCACCTTTCTTGGAAATTAAAAATTCCAAGAAAGGATTTGAAAACTTAAAAAAAGAAAAATATAAAAAATTTACTCCTTATTATATCACTATCCATTTCTATAGTTATTTTTATATTAAAAAATTTAAAAAATTTAAGATACAGAATGATAAAAGAAAAAAAGAAAAAAATACTCAAACTAAGTAGACACACTTTGTGCAAAAAAATTATGAGTTTTTGTAGAATAACTGCAATATTCGAATATTTTCTCAATTTTTCAGGTTGATTGATGAAACAAATGCACAGTGAAATTTACAATTGAATTTTAAAATTTAAAACTTATTAATTTTTTAAATAAATTCAAGAATATATTTTGCAACGACAAGATTTATAAATTTAATCATACTATCTACAATGTAGTTTGAAATGAAAAAAAATGTCTCACAAGAAAAATACCTAATAATTTATCTATCTTGAAAAAAGGTAATTATATTTTCTCTATTAGTAAAGACAGATTAAAATTTTTTATTGATATGAATCTTTCAAAAAAATTATTTTTCAACCTAGTGAATTTTTCATTTTTTTCAGAAAAATAATAATACTATTTTTTGCATCATTATTATAAATTTGAATAATTTATATTAAATGAAAATAAAAAATAAAATAAAAATTAATTTAAAAAAATATTATACTTATATTTCAATAACTCAGTTTTTATGAAAAAGATATTGTGTTTTTGTTCATATATCTGATCATGGAAAGCACTTGAATTTGTATTTTCTAAATTAGATTTTTTTTATAATTGCTATAATGAAATATATATATATTTATTAAAATATTAAAATATTTCAAAATATTTTTTATCTTTGCTAATAAAAATCAATAATTAAAATTTATGAAATAAATATACATTTGAGCTTGTGATCTTTATTCCACAAAAATACCTTATTGAGTTGTTTTTCAAGTTTTTTGTTTTGATAAAAAATAAATAAATTCTTTTATCAACACTTTAATGTTAATCATGAGATTTTTATGAGTATGTGTTTTTAGGCTTTTTTGGAATTGGATTTAATATGGATTTATTATGAATATTTTAATAGCATATCTGAAACAAATATTTATCATTTAATTCAATGATTTGACAATGTTTGATGATCTATTATCAAGCATAATATGAATTCAAGTTGCTTTTCCATGTTGTTGTTCTATTTAATCTTTTTAATAAAAAATATGTTTCAATCAAAGTGGTAATAATAATAATTATTATATTAATTAAATTTGAAATAAGATGAAAATGAGATGTCTAATTATAGTTCAAAACTTGATGTGCAATCCCAAATTATATTTCTTACACATTTAAAGTTTTTATTAATCAAATTTTCTAAATACTTTAATTAATAATTTTTTACTCAGGAAATTTTTTTAAAATTAACAACAAACGTTTGAATAGATAGTCCAAGGTACATAAGAGTTTCAGAATAAAGTATCATATCATTTACAGATTGTGAACTGAGATTACGTGATGAAAGAAAGAAAGTATGGTGTGATAATTTGAACAACAAGCAACATTAGACTTCAAGATGTCAAGATTACACTTTGCAAATTGGATTTGGTTTGTACTCGTATAGAATTTATTTCAATTGCAAGAGAGTGAGTGATATGGTGACATGTATATTTGATGATGTGGTGTTCAAACTTTTCCACGATTAACTATTCAAGTTCTGTGCTTCAACAGAGTGCTGAAGAGTCAATAATTACACGGCAAATTTTTCTTGATTTTCAGTGCTCGATCGTTGTCTCCACTTGTCTTTTTATTACTCATATGGAGGCTATGTTCTGTCGCCGGGGATCTATGCTGCCATCTTTTTTCATTTGTGTATATTAGTCATAGTTTCTTAGATCAAATTAATCAGTGAAATATTGTGATCAAAAAGATTGAAAGAATACATTTCATGAAATGAATCTTCAGAGCTTTAGCTCGAACTGGATGTGATATGTTGTGACATGGAATTGATTATTTGCATGATCTCTTTACTGGTAGAGATTTAATAGAAAGAACCTCACCAAGGCGAGTCCATCCTACCCTCTCTCCATGCATGCAATCAAAGACCAAACAGATTTGAAGCTAAACAAATGTCCTAGATTTCCCTCATCCTTTAAACAGAACCAATGCCCACCCCCTTCGGAAACTGCAATCATATCTAGCACACACATGTAATAATAGAGCAGCTGCGGATGACGTCGTTCAACTGCGATATCCAAATTTCTCTCAAAGGACGTCACAACTTGTTTGAGGCTCAGGGTAAGAATTATAGCACAATGAAACTTTTGATCTAATTACGACCATAAATTTCCACCACTTCGGAGCGATGTTTGAGGACTGAAACAAACTAACAGGCAATTTTTTATGATGTACGTCTTATGTCAGTTTGTATCTTTTCTTTTCTCATCACTCTCGCAATTTCAGTAACCCACTTTCGTGTTGTTGCGAGAACGAAGAGGGCAGCAGCGAAAACCATAAACTCGTAGACTTTGACCCGGTAAGGCTGCTATCAAAACTTAAGGCACAGTGGATAATAAGAGCCATAGGAGTTTTGCAAAAGTTGTGAGACCACAACAAAAGTGCGTGCCTACTTATGTGACCCTCTACTGGCTAAAGTAGAGAGAATCTAAGGGCCAAACCACGCGACAACGAATCCTCGCTTGTCATTAGCAGTCTAGCTCCCCCTTTAACTCACGGGAGGCAACGGCAATTTCACATATCCTGTGGCAAAGAAATCTACTGCTCCAAATTATTCGCAATTTCACATATCCTGTGGCAAAGAAATAGGCAATTTCGCCCGGAAATCCGGTTTTTTCGGAATATATCGATTCCACGTGTATTTTCGCGCGTTCTTGGGTTACTCCTCCAATGACTTCTTTTCATTCGATTGCAATTAATAGAGACATTTCTCACTTTTCAGTCCGAAGGCACCACCGGCAGTGTGGTAGAGGTTATGGGATTGTCTCCAGCTGGCCGACTCAGGCCTACGAAAACCAGGTTTTCTTCTAGCCAGGAGATTGGTGCCGGCTGCCGGTCGTGTGGTTTGGGCCTAAATAGGAGGCAGAGCAGTATCGTAAAAGATCATGTGCTTTCTGTTTCTCACAAGCTCTGAAAGCTAAGAAAATTTTCCTGCTGGACTTGCTTCTGTGATGCAAAACACTTTGCGAGTCCACCGACCTTAGTATATCATACTTATTTATATGATACAGCACATTGTTGTAAGTATTGTAAAAATTAATCATGATATCCACTAACACCAAACAGTAGAATTTTTAATATTCCTTTATCATACAATTAATATTTTAGGAATATTTCAATACATTGATAATGACAACTTTAAGACAAATTCATTATATATCAAAAGACACTTGATCAGTCACTAATAATTTTATTTTGTAGAGTTTAAATGCTATGTTGTGCAAGGTTGGGTGATACCATGTTATAATATTGACTGAAAGCGAAGGTATGTTTTGAGTGCAGCACAACGGTTAATCTTGAGGTCACTACATACCACTTTCTAGAAGCAAATAAGTATAAAATAGCAGGAGGAGGAACAAGCTAGCATTAGGTGGACAATGGCTAGGACTGTTACTTTGACTATAATTGGTTAGCCACAATCCCATCAACTTGGCTCTTTTGTCTTCGGCATCTTCACCATGAGGTAAAGTCCAAATTGCAGTTGCTTCCTTATTCAAGCAGATTTGATTTGGTAGGAACTATTCTGAAAACTGTTTTCCACATCGGAAGTACTGCATCAAGCAAAATTATGAAACACTTTGGCTGCTTTGAAAAACGAATCAGGTTGAAATCTCCATTCAACACCTTCTTAAATCATAACTTTATTTTGCGTGAAATTGGGGCTTTGGACATGAAATTTCTTTGAGTATTCCTTCTAATTATAAATAGTTCAGAAATTCTTTTGGACATTCGTTACCCGTGAGTAACTCCTGTCAGTAATTGGGCGGGTTTTTTTGTTTGCAGAGATATCTGAACAGTTCTGAGGACTGTGGTGTACACGCTTATTAAATTTATTGGGTATGTCTAGAAACAATACCCAATAAATTTATAATTAATTCGACCACCTTTAGCCAAGAAAAACTGAATTCGGCTTGTTCCTTTTCATTTTCTTCGAACAAAGGTTTCCTCTAGATTCTTTGAACCATGAAAAGATTATTTGAACCATAGAGTGAGTGCATGAGGGAATAGAAAAGCAAAGTCAATTGAGAAGAGTTAAGTTTCAGAGCTCGATGGGGCCGACGCAACGTGTGCACATGGGCGATTTTGGTGACGGTGCTTCCATAAAGAAGTTTTCGAACGTGAGCAGTGCGTGGACCTCGGGAATACAATTCCAGTGGTGCGTCGAGGACAACATTCTTATGATACATCAGTCTCCTGGATTTGAGTGCGAAGGTCTCATCATAACTTCATAAACTTCATCATTATGTTTCATTAAATCCATGGCCGAAGCTACGGAATGAAAGAGCGGACCCACGACGCCGAGACAGCTCGAAAGAAACCTCAGCTCGTGCTGATGGTGGTCCATCTTCAGGATCTCATTCGAAGGGAGGCAAAACGCAATCGGAAAGTCGGTTCTGAGAAACAACATAAATAGTTTCACACATCACTCTTCCTGCTCCTGGCACGTAGAAGAGAATCTTCGAAGGCAAGCTCGGTCACGAAACTGAAGTAGGCGAAGCACTCAAACGATTCGCCTTTTTATTCCCAGCTACCCTGAATCTGATGGATTCAATAATTTTCGTCCTCCTTATTCCTTTCAGTGATCTAGACCCTCATGGATCTGCCTTGAATCCTCATCACCAGGTACTGAACACTGATTGAATTACGGCAGCTATCTTGTATAGCAGACGTCGAAGATGTTTGCACAAAATGGGATAGTTGACATAGAAACCAACACACCTTCGGCTGAACAACTCAGAGCACATGGTTAGATTTCAATGATCTCTTATGAGAACTGTTAATTACAGACGTGAGGTTTCTAAGATATGAGGACTCTACAAAGCGTCGAAAGGCGTCGCACTTCTGACCATATTGTACAAAATAATGAGTTGCCCTCATCCCTGACTACGGCATCTATGTCATGAGATTGCCGAGCAGTTCATGAGAAATGGGATTTCGAGGCTTCCCTGGCCTTAAATCAGACCAAGGCTAACGACCGGATGACTGGCCCAGCAGTCATGTCCGTAGTGTACATGCGCACTATCATCTGGTCATGACGAAGACTGCGATGGACGTCGCCATCACAGACGATGCCATGGAGCGAGCCACGTGAAGAATCGAAGGTGCACCAGAATGTAGAGATGGTGGTGGTGGTGCCAGAAGACTTGGTGGTGCGGAAGGGACATCTCCGACGAGACTGACGTGCAGTTTTTGCTCGAGAAAACACATTGAAGGTTCTCCGCAGATGAAGTAATAGTCCCGAACGCCGAGCATTGCAAGAGTGATGTTGTCATGACCGGACCTGAAGGTCTCGATGGGATCTATGAACAGGCATGTGTCGAAGCTCGACGAATTCACGAGAAGGACAGAATGTGTCCTATTGGAATAGTTGAAAACTGCACAGAAACAAAGTCCAGCAGCAATAACTCAGTCTGAGGAACCGGTGCAATGTCATCACACCACCACGACGATTTCTGCGCAGAATCTGTACAGAATTTGATGGAAGCACTCCCTTTTCAACACTTGGAACTTATAAACCTTTCGTCATGCAGGACTAGTTCTATGCAGCAATAATGTCAAGCTCCTCCGGTCATGGGTAAACTGATCATGCAAAACATTGGAATGCGCGGTAATGCTTTACGACTGTCTGAAAGCAGGGTCACTCTCTGTCTCGAAAAATCTGAATTCCAAACAGTCGTGACTCTCTAGGACGAAGTGGCAGTACTTACAAAGCTGGTCGGCGAATCTGATGTTCCTTGCTTCAGCCCAGGCAGTGTAGTTGAGGTCATTGGAGGTAGCGGGGACTGTCCAAGAGCCCAGATCATCTCCTACCATCCAGGTCGCTGCATCGACCGACACTTGCAGGATGGCTACGAAGATTGTGCTCAGAAGCGCTGTCAATGTTCTCGGTCGGGCCATCATCGGTGGGTGTCAAAACCTTTCCGGAAGATGTGTGTGAGCCGAGACTCAGAGTTCAGATCTAAACTTGGACGACGGTGGCTATAAAACTTGTGCAGGATGCGAGAGAAGTTTCCTGAAAGTGGCGATTGTCGGTAGGATCCACATTTCGGGTGGAACCGAGGCCGGCCCTGGGAAGAGCAGTGTGTTCAGCATGAGCGAAGGATTGCTGCGTACTTTTCGAGTGCTCCGGGTCTCAGTTCACTCAAAATTGGCATGTGCGCAGAGCAGCTGCAACCCGATGGATCGAGCTTGCTCTCTGGGGCAAAGTCTATGTCCCAGGTAGCCTCTAATTCTCAGAGAAGGTAATTTGTGACAACCTTCCGTTCCTTGAGCTTGCTCAGCAGAATCTTCGATGCTGGCTAGATATCAATATCGAAGGAAGGATTGCGTTTGAAACTGTTGGGGATCTCATGCACAAAATTCGTGCACAAAGGAACGATCCATCACCTTTAACATGGGTCGGGGCGGGGCCAGAAAGCGTCGAAACAGGATCACCCGCCGAAGAGCTCCGTAGAACCATGGACCGCATGAATTCGCTCCAGCAGCTGTCAAAAAACATCGACATGAACATGACCTCCGCCTATTTCGGTAGCTATAAACCGCGGGAGATCCGGCATGTGGGATTCTCCTCCTAGTGGCTGAAATCAGCCTCGGCTGCAGCACGATACGGTGTGGCTGCTAGGCCCCCAAAGCTCATGAAAGCGAGACGATTCGAGAATTGTAGTCACACATCATTGCCTGAGTCAGATCAGTAAGACTGTGCTAGTAATGGCTATCATCTGAAGGATGCTCGCACGTTCAAGGATGAACGTCTTGGTGATTTCAGAAAGTTGTATAGGGACGATAGCATTTGCTTGCACTCCATCAGCAGATTTAGGTGAGGGTTTATGCAATAAATCAAATCGTTATGTCAGGGATGGTTGTCAGACAGCGTAACATTTGTGTTTGATATTATTCAATAGACTAGATTCTTGGCATGCTCAAGATCCAGACTGGAGCTTGGGTCTTCATTATGCACTATTTCTCATTCGAGGTTCAAGTGCAAGGAGTTTGAGGAAGGCATATGAATGTGATCTTCATGGCACTAAATTCGTCTACTTAAACCAATGAACGTACCGTGAATACCGCATGACAACAGCCAAGCACAATAACCATGGGTCTACTCATTTGATACTTCCTAATGAGCTGATTGCTTCCCACTGTGCTTGCTTAGTCTCTAGGCCTGGTGTGCTAAGAATTTATTTGATGATTGCACGTCATGCGAGGCGACTGGATGGAAGTGAAGAAGCTCAGCTTGCGTTTGAGTATGCAATGGTACAAAGCTTTCTTCTTGAGAAATAAAGATTAAAAATTCCATATGTTCTGTTTCTGGACATTGAAGCTCTGCCCTGAACGATACAGTTTGCGATATTCAAGGCATATGCCGTATTTAGACAGAATTTATGATGAGCACGATTATTCATTTTCAGGAACGCAATCGCTCACGTGCTCTAGTAGTTTGCGGATATAGACAGTGAAAACTTCAAAGTGATTCTGTACAACACTCAAGTCAACCCACTAGACATAAGATAATGAAAGGCCGCAGCGTACAATTGAATATATTACCTGTACAAAAGTACTGTTATTCACACCATTGGAAATCATGTCGGAAGAATATTCGGGAGCAGATTGGTCGACGTAGACTAAGCTTAAGCTTTGTTGTTGCTTAAGAGATGAACCTGACCTGGGCTACAGTAGCACTCTGGATTGATGTATGTAGTTTTTGAAAGATTAAATGGTCAATGATGGAGCTAGAACCAGCGATCGACTGTTAATCTTTCGAGTTTTTCCAGGGACACTTGAAAGACCGACCATGAATTGGCACTTTTCGAAGAAGTAGCTCTATACTCTCCCCTCCATATGTCGCTGTCATGAATGCTTGCAAAATAGAACTGCAAAGGGAGAGAAACATTCTGACCAGCCACTAACTAGACTAGAGATTATGAGAACGAGAGAAGGTGAGAGTTGGATGAGAGAATATGAACCTCATGTTGCACACGTTTGGAAACTTCTTCGTATAATACTACTTGTTCTTCATAGCATTACATCACATTTTTAGACCAGCCAAGTAGCAGCGAAAACCGAGAAATTCCAAGGAAGATGTGAGAAGCAGATACCTCTTCGATATCAAGAAGTGGACCGTATCGTAAAGTGTCCGCCATCGGTCCAAACTGCGAATCTCCTCAACGACATGCATAGCAACATTCAGAGTTGCTCCTCCTTGTGCACCTGGCTTACGGTAGGAAATAGTCGTCAGCACGTACAAGCATATGGCAGAACTACTGTAAAACGTTATGGTGAAACGTGTATGGCTGTCTGGAAATCAGAACACTGGGGCTTTGATAAAAAAAAATTGTGAACATCGTGAAACCAGCTAAAAAGAGTGGCGCTTCACGCGCTCAGATTTGGCATCTAGCTGTTTCAGATCTCTCTGCAATCTTCGATCTACAGATGATACTATAACAACAAGACCCCTTCTACAGAGCTCAGTGACAACTTAAGACAAAAGACTGATATCTGGTGCCAAAACAAACATCTGGTCAGACGGCATCTTACGCTGTCATCTTCGAAGGTTCGGATTCTGTTTATACTGTTTCTCATTTCTTTTGACGTAAACGTCCCAGGGCATCGTAGAGATGCTGGAGGGTTTTGAGACGAGTATTCAAGATGCGTTCAAACGGATGTACAATGAAGCTAATCTGGTGATGTGTGACGGTCATGTCAGTACAAGCTGGGGTCTTTGCTTAAGCTGCTTTGCTTGATTATCCATCAGAGGTCAGGATCTGAGCAGGGCTCCTATTCCATCATCGTACTCAGCATTGTCCGCCTACATGGCTAGGGTAAATGGTAAATGGTAATAGATCAAGCCCAGGGGACCCAAAGGGTCAAAAGGCTGAAAAACACAATACAAGCGAAAACCACAAACAAGGGAAAGACCCCAAAGATCAATCCCTAGGGGATCTTTTGTCTACTGTAGAAAGCCGTTCTTCACCCCCTGGCATATAAGCATCCATATGATTACACAAGAATTGGTCTGTCCGGCTTTGGACATCTAAAGTTTTAGTACGAACTTACTGCAAGAATCGGATCTTGCCAATCTGAGAAGCGAGGTCGCGGTCGGTCCAATTTGGATGGAAGTTCATCAGCTGCTCGCTTACATAGCAAGAGACGATTTGACTGGGCTTTCAAAAAATAGCTTGGAGCAAAGCAGTCAGACCGTTTGTAGAACTCCAGTCTCTCTGCTGGTGGTTTGGTGTCTCCTCTTTAGTTCGTGCTTTGCCACGGGTTATTCTACTCGAAAGTCAAGTCAGTCCTTTTTTATGTCAATCTCCCTGGCAAAACAAGCTGTAGACCTCGGTAATATGCATATTACATTTCAACCGGGTGTGTTTCGAATCTCTTGGCTCTAATTTGTGCTTTCAAACAAGAAGTTCGATCTTCGGGAGCTTGATTGTAGCTATATGACTTAGCACTCCAAAGTTCCTAAGATTAGATAATCTGAAGGATCTAGTATGTCAAAATCTGCACATTTGAAGAGTTTTCGTTGTTTGTTATCAGTTCTTACTCATCTGAAAGACATTACCTTCTTCTCAACTCTTCTGAGCATACGTCTGCAGATATGTGACCACACGATCACGTGTGAAACGACACCTCTCTAGCGATGCCCAGATTTTGTCATTGATCGTGCGTCTCTTTGTGTCCCATTGTGCACATATTTAGTCCTAATGGAGATAGTTACGGAACTAAGCTTCATAACGAGCACAGCTTTAGACTGATCAAAGTGTTCAAGTAGTAAAGCCTCTTCGTCCAGAATTCATAATGAAGACGGTGGGAATGAGAGTTTACAACCGATAAGCATCACCGTCGCTTGTTGAATACTCTCGTGTTAATATAGTTCATTGCTCTCAGAGAAAAATTCTACAGCACGATTACAGATTACACCATAAGAGGTGGGGTTTCTAATTTAACAATTTTCTTCTCCAATGAAGGCTCCACGGACGTTCACCTCGCAATCGATACACACTCGACTATCAGTTACTCAACAGCGGCCCGGATGGCCAGGTGTGCTTCAGTCGAGAGCTCAGTTGTCATCCTGGTGCACACTGCCTGACATGAAATTGTTATGAGTGTTATTAAGACTTTTAGTAAATAGAAGAACCTTCCCCTTGCATGCTTATGTTTACAAGGAGAAACGACTCCCTAATTGAACCTTGCTGAACAATATTCACCGACTGAACCTACAGTCTCTCACAATAACCCTTTCTAACTCTTAAATTAATTGTGACGAATCAAAACTGAACTCCATGGAGATATCAAATTGTGCAACTTATTTTCGTTGGCTTCTCATCCTAGTCCTGATCCTGAAGGACCATGGCTTCTCGTCCTAATTACACATCCTTGAAGGGTTCCTCTAGCATCTACATTCGTATAATGTTTAAAGGCTTCTGATGGTACCTTTTTGGTAATATCTTTGGTCCTGAGTAGTTTGAGTATGTGATAGAAAGCACAGCATAGAAGTAAACATCTTTGGTTATTTCATATAGAGAGGTAGATTCATCTTTGATATAAGAGATTGCACCCTTAGCATCTTTAGCCAACTCGACCTTCTCGCCATTTTTGGTATTTTGTCATTATGTGGTTGCAAATAGATATATCCTTCGGATATAAGGCGGGTGTCGATGCATGAGTACGTCTGTCACAGTTATTCTTACATCATGCGTTTTAGCCCAGAATATATGACATGAACTCGTGTAATATATTTCTTTGCTGATTGATTGGACTTGATTGCTAATTGAGTTCTACAATCTACGTCAATGTACCAATAGTTTCACCAACTCTACTTTATTGCTCTAACAATGCGCATAAAAGGGATGTTGAAATTGCGCTAGGTACCTATAAGGTAGAATGATGAAATTGTGTCTTGTCGTAGTCCATCCATCTACGTCTTCATTATTTACTTCAAATGCAGTAGGTGCTTACTTGAATTGATCCTCATTTGGAGATAGAGAATATATAGCCATGATGACATCAAAGATGATTTATGTGTTTGTGATGCCACATGAAGGTAGAGACCTAAAAGTCGATTGAAGTTACATCAGCTCTACATATGGTTCAGAAGGACAGAAAAGTAGGTGGTTTTAGCGAGAGATTGTGTCAACATAAGGTACCCAAGGATAAAAAAACCTCTTTGTTACTATATGGAATTATGAATTAGATTTGGACTTGTTACTGAGAGATTTTACAAGTGTTTAGAATTTTATGTGGTAGAGAACTTCACTCTCGTTGGTGTATTATGTAGCATAATTGGAACAATATACTTCCATTGCCCTATAAAAAGTTATAATCAATTGATTATAAAGTAGAGCAATTATATTAGAAGATATAGTGTTGAATGACCTACTGTTTGTTAACTGAATGACCTAAACAGTTATTATCTAGAGATCTAGCGTATTGCTACTCATCCTCGTCCATTTTCATTCTTGTACAACTTGGCAACATTTTTTAACTTTCTCGTTACATGCTTGTACATTCTTGACATTAGTAAGGAAGAAGATGAACTGAAAAATTCTTCTGGTTGAATAGTTTTTGATTCAGTCCAAAAGTTTTTGTTGATTATCTAAACATGTCTGTGTAATAAGATAGAGAGAAATGCGCACGTATGATGCAAGTGATTTAAATTTAACTTATTAGTCTGATAGCTACTTCAAATTCATATTTTGTCACAATTAAATCAAAATAATATAGTCTTTAGGAATTTAGATGAGGAATAATCATTTTGCAATATGGAGCAATAGCCAAAAATTATAACTTTTTCCATCCTCATTTATGTACTTTGTTTCTTAAATGAATAACAATAAATTCAGTCCTTGCGCACATTCGGATGGTGTAGCATTCGATAGTATAATGGTTATTAGTACGGTGGACATTGTAGTTTGATGACATTTACAACACTTCAATAGTACTTATACATTTACCATGTCATGTGTATGCACGTTAGTGCAGTTTCAGATCGACGTTGGTGTCCATTTGAGTTCAGACACGTTGGATTCGAGTGTGACTCGGGTGACGTTGGGAGTCGGCTAACGTTGAGACGCGGAGCGTAGGCTAGGTCGACTTTCCAGGTTTATATTCGTGTCAAACTAGAAGAATTGACAGTTCTTCGATAACTTTGTGTGGGAGCGTAGGCTAGGTCGACTTTCCAGGTTTATATTCGTGTCAAACTAGAAGAACTGACAGTTCTTCGATAACTTTGTGTGGGAGTCGGCTAACGTTGAGACGCGGAGCGTAGGCTAGGTCGACTTTCCAGGTTTATATTCGTGGCAAACTCGAGAACTGGCAGTTCTTCGATAACTTTGTGTGGGAGTCGGCTAACGTTGAGACGCGGAGCGTAAGCTAGGTACTTTCCAGGTTTATATTCGTGGCAAACTCGAAGTGTCACACACAAAGTTATCGAAGAATTGTCAGTTCTTCGATAACTTTGTGTGGGAGTCGGCTAACGTTGAGACGCGGAGGTTAGGCTAGGTCGACTTTCCAGGTTTATATTCGTGTCAAACTCGAAGAACTAACAATTCTTTGATAACTTTGTGTGTGACACTCTCCTTCCTTGTGTATGTATGTGTGAATTGTGAGTAGAGCATGTCTAGACGTATAAGGTACTACGATACCGAGTCGGAGCACAACCAAACGTAATTTAGCATGCTTTTGGTCAAGGATTCTATACGAAAGAATATATTCTGTGAACCCTCTACAGATTATAGCCTCGCATGATAATATTAGCCCATGTGACATGGGCCAATATTATCATGGAAGGCTATCGCGAGTAAGAATAGACATGGGCCATGTCTATTCTTACTCGCGAAGTTCTTCCACCTCGTGTGTCTACCTCTGACCGTTACTTCTGTTCGGTAGGTTCGCTCTCTCACGGATCTATTACCAACTATCATTCTCGACTTGTCTTGTGCTTACAGAAGGTTCTGTAATCATGGCCAGTTCCGTTTCGGCCCCTAACTTTATCATTCCACGGGAAGTATATTAATCATACTTCCGGAATTTGTTCCGATCATCCGTCAATGCCAAACTCTCGTCCTGCCTACTGAGGCTAGATGGCTGCGTGGCGACAGTTCTGCGTGCAGTGGCTCTTACTACGGTCGGCAGTTATCATGATCAGGTGTGCGATGAACGCTCCGTTGGTCCCTTCTCTACCACTCGACCGTGGACGAAGGGCAGAGAGGCTATTCCTGCGATTTAGACCGCATCCGATCGCTAACCCACTACCTCCGCTGCCAAGCGATTATTTGCACGTGCTACTACATTTCGCTCGCTTTCACACACTTCCCTTTCAATTTGTTGACAAATACGCTTGATAATTTCTTCATGGAGGCCGCTCGATTATAAATCGGAAGTACAGAGTTTAACTTCAGGCATTATGTTCAAGGAGCCAAAATATCAAGAACCTACCGCCACCATCTTAACATCGTCATCCATACTTCCTATCAAACCATTGCCAATTGTGTGCAACTCTATTTCACACATCAACCTGGTAAGAGACCAGCTTGTTCACGCTTTACCTATTTCACAATGGCACACAATCGACTGAACTCTCTACACTTCTGACGGTCCATGCTACGTCCTAAAACATGCTAACAAAAAACTTACGCATAGACTCCAAGTTTCCGACAATGTCAGATGCTGAGATTCTATGCAACTCTCGTAAAAAGAACTCTTGTTTGTGACGAACCTACCAATTGACGAGAGACTAAAGCTACTGTACCGAGTCAGTACGCAGTTCTACTATCCAACAGAACCTAAAATATACCAAGGGTCTCAACACTGCACAGACTCCGAAGGAGCCCTCACAGCACATAAAACGAGTTCTACACAGTTTATTGCAGAGAAAGTCGACCCCTTCACACTATCCTAAAAGAACAGATGAATGCCCTACCCAATGAAGGTGGGCAAAGAAAACCAAACATCGCTAATGAACAAGAATGGCGGTTGAATGATTGCTTTACGAAGTACATCTAGGTACAAGGCATGTGAATCCAAAATCTGGAGTTCAAAGAAGAAAAGTCTCGCCAAATGTAGCAACCTATTGAGGTTCTTTTCGCGCTTTGGGGCAGAAGGCGGCTTTGGATAAACATGTGAAGACCCAAGTCGAAACGGGATGCTTAAGCGACAGGAGGTCTGAGGACGTGGTCTTGCGACGTGTCGACAGTCGCCTGTGGCATCCATTGCCACATGGCCATTCCTGGATATCCTGGCATGTGAGAAGCCTTATTGGTTGTGGCGTGTGCCTGTGCTTGGGCAAATGCAGCAGCCGCATGAAGAGTAGCAGGATGGGTATATGGTATAGTCATGGTCTTCAATTGCTGCTCCAGTCTCTCCTTGTCTGCCTTCAACCTCAACTTCTCGTCACGTAGCTCGTTCTTCTCGGCCTAGGAAGATCACCAAATGAATCACTTTCACAATCAGTTTACTGGCTCTTACACTACAAGCTTCATTGATACAACAGAACGTAGATGCATAATCCAGCTCACCGCTAGAAAAGCACGAGCACGGCACAAATAAGCAGCTATATTAAACGACAGGAAGGGAAAAACACCGTCTATATACACGTGTTAGTCATGCCCTCTCTGATGAAACCTTCAAGGCCGTGGACAAAACTAGTAAAAATTCCAAAAAAGGTAGGAGAAACGGCAGACATGGTTTTTGCAGTTATCATCCTTCCCTCTAAATTTCAAGGGCAGACAGATTAGCAATATGCAATCCGATTTTGTAAAGGTTCAGGATAGGGTTCAGAAAAGTTACAAAAACTTTAATCTAGTTTGGGAGTATTGTGAAGTCCGACAAACACCAGTTTTGACGTCGGTGATGAAGAAAAGACACCAAAGGAAGAATTGAATTGAAAACAAATCAACGACGCATAATTCCATGGTCTTCTTTGAGAAAAACAATGGATGACGAGTGACTTCGTGTCCAAGGTCTCTAGCAAACTACGTGGCCCCAAGGATCAGACAGTAGATGAACACCTTGCGGTAAAAGAGGGTGAACGCAGTCGTCGGGAACGATCAACAGCGTTCGTGATTAGACCACGAAGCAGAGCAGCAAATGCGCATTACCAACCAATATTGAAGTATTCAGGTGTCTGGGAAGGGACACATAATTGGTTATTTCCTTCAGGAGATAACCATTACTCTGTCCTGATGATATTCATCTGGCAGCCACACCGGAGTACATCATAGGGTGAGGTGTATTACCTTCAAGTCTTTGATTGCTTCGCGCAGCAGATGGTTTGAATCCTTCAGCTCCTGGGCCTCTGACCGCAGCTGATTCAGAATACGTACGGCATCGCAAAGGATGGTAGCCTTGTCAGACTTGGGGGGCCTGCCGGGCTCCAAGGCTGAGCTCAGTTCCACAAACCTGGAAACATAGCATCCGAGTGTACACATCGTTAGTCCTCTTAAGACAACTAGCTTCAGACGGAACGAAGGTAGACAGCACACTCTCAATTCAAAGGGTACTCAATCCGTATCTGCCTGATGTAACCAATCGATGCATGAATTACGGGAAGTTTTCAACCCGTCTACCGCCCAATAGCTGTGAGGGCTGACTAAACATTATTTTGAAACGAAACAAAACGAAGTTTTGAAAAGACAAAGAGAAGCCATGTTAACACATAAACGTCGACAAGCCTTGTTCCTTGTAATGATCAAGATCACTGTTTGCATCACAGTAGCGACTTTTTGGAACGCAAGTACGAAGACATCAAGCTACCTGTCATTAAGACGGTCACGGCGCATCTTTTCACGACAGGCCTTGCTGCCAGCTCCACTGCATGATTCGTCTCGAGACCTACATATAACACCCATGATAAAAGTCTCATTTCCAAGCCTCTTCAAAGACGACTACAAGAAGAGAGTATTCAAATGGTGGTGATCTGAATTATAAGTACCAGAAACATACATGGCTGACAAACAGCCCACCGGTGTAAACACCCAGAAATAAACCGTTCACATGATACAAAGTTCCAGCCAAAGTTAACCCTTAGCAAACAAAGACTATCAGATGGAGAGGAAATGCGTGCGGACAACCACTTGAAGTTACTTCACAACGGTTTCACACCGGAATCCTAAGGATAGGAGCCAACACACTTGAACAGGGTTGTGAGAGATGTGCAACAAACAACAATAATCTTACCTTTTCCTTGGACAAATCTTCTCGTGTTCATCAGAATCGGCCTTTGAGCCATCATTCTCCGCACTGTAAAGGGAAACAATTGTCAAGGTCCGGATTTATAGATGAGTGCATAGCAGCCAGCTAAGGAAAACAAAAGTTGCCCTGACGTGTAGCTTCTTGGTAGAACAAGAGCCTCCACTCCAAACAGTATGTTTCAAAAAGTCGTTTGATAAACGGAGAACATGAAGAGGAGATCATCCTCGGCACAGACAGTGTTCGACTGTCAAAGATCAGTTCGCCCAATAAACTAGACGAAGTCTAGAGAGATCAGTAATATGATTGCCTCACTCAGCATAACTGTTCATGATCGACCTCGTCACCAAGAACGAAAGGCTACACTCCGAAATGTATAAATTGTCTCTGACCTAGCCCTCGACCAACAACGCAGGCAACGCCCAAATTTCTATTCGAACTTAAACTGAGAACGCATTGAAGTGCTCCTTGTCTGTAAAGCACAGCACAAGATACACACTGACAATGGTCAAATGAAAGATACCTAAGAGGCAGGAATTGAGGGTGTGCAGAAACTGCTACCCGACCTGTCGAATACCCGACTTCAGGTCGATGGATGTCAAACGAGACATTGATCTGAAGGGACAATGAAGAGTCTACATGTCCAAAACTAATACCAAAGTTCAGCACTGTATGCTCTTTCCGAGCGCCTAAGATAACGAGAGGTCATCTGGACCTAGACAAACCTGTTTTATCTCTGTGGCATAGCTCTTCAATAATGACCACGAGTTGGCGCTAAGCGATTTCAAAGCCACAGAAAAAATGAACGCGTAGATGCCACTTATGTCTTGAAATTAAAAGTTGAAAACCTGCGACTTAATGACAACAAGAAATAGAGAAAAGTATACCCAAAGAGGGTAAACCAGAAGGACATGTCTTGGACTGAGTACCATGGAGACGGAAGAATGAAAGAGTGTGGGGAAGAGGATCCAGTTGCACTTGCCCAAACCGTAGCTCGAGAGAAGAGAAAAATCACAAAGAAAGTAGAACAGGGACATGAAAGACGGACGGAAAATAAACTATGCACTGAACCCCCATCCCTCGGGCATACAGAAAATGACCTCAATTGACAACTGAAAATTTTCAGGGAGCCTAAGAAACGGGTCACAATAGAGAAAGAGAGCCGGGCACGGAACGAGCACACTGCTGTATCCCAACCACGATCTCCACTCGTTCACCTTCCCTCAAATCCAAAATATGCCACGGCATACCCGAAAGTAGCCAATACCCCCCATAAAAAGGGGGGAAAACCGAAGACCAGAACCTCACCTGCAGTCTCCCTGTTCCGGGAGGGACTGGCTCGTGCACCACTGGAATGCATTAAACGGCTGTGGCTCCTCCACTTCCAAGAGATCTTGCGCTAGGAAGGAGATCCACTTGCTGTTATTCGAAGGAGAAGACATTGTGGTGTGTCCCTGTTCCACCTGTTCTTCTACCTCTACACAATTCACCCCCACTACAAATCGAAAACCTCGACTACGCTGACGAAGCAGACGAAGACGACGACTTCGAGCGCCTGCAATCCTCGCTCTCCGACCTCCTGCTCCTCCTCCCTCGCTCGTGCCTAGGCGGCCCGGCCTTCGGCCCAACACCTACCAGCGCTGCGCCTGCTGTCACCCTAGAAGGAGCTGCATCATAGTGGAAGACCTCCCCACCCCACGCACCGAAAGACTATCACCAGGGTGTGTGGCAGGATTATGAAGGCTGCTTACATGATTCTCGCCACATTGCGCTGTCCCCTCTCCCGCCCCGCACCCCTCTCCCCGTTCCTCTCTCCCTCTCTCTTTCTCTCCCTCTGCCTAACTTCGTCGTCGCCACTCCCACCACCGCTCCGCTCTCCTCTCCTCTCCTCTCCGCTCCGCTCCCAATGCTTTTCTCGGACTCGAGTCTGCGTCCCTCGCAGCCTGCGTGCCTGCCTATCTGGTCTGCGACTGGCCCCTTCGACCTCGACCTTTCTCTTGCCCGTCTGCGAGCTTTGTCTCTTTCCCTCACATTTCGCTCGCACTGATCAACAACGCCACCCCCCGCGATATGCTTTGTTTAGTCGCCGCTGCGGCTCCTGGCTCCTCTTGCTCGGGCAAGTCCAGGCGCGGCTGCAGAGCTGTGGGCGAGTGGCGCACTCCACTTCTTCGTTCGCCTCACTAACAGACGGACGGCTCCTCCTCCTACAGTACTGCCACCCACCGGACGTTGCAATTTCTGTCCACCGGGCCACCGGCGCCGCGCCTGCGCTCCTCTACGTGGCGCCCTCGCCGGTCACCGCTACGTGTCCCGGGGCCGCGACCTCCTCGTTGCGTGTACGATTCCACGCCGTCCTTGGTCGAGGCTCGGGACGGACGTCACCCAGGGCAGCCCGCCCGCCCGCCCGGTGCGCCGAACGTCTCCGAACTCCCGAGATGATTTGGCCTCGACGCCACCAACGGACGTGGGGACCGCCGGCGCCCCGGTGGGCCCCGCTTCCATGTGCGGGAGTTGCCAAAGTTGGCGACTTTGGTGATTTCTGCACCGCAGGTGGCCACGGCCTCCCGAGGAACTCTGTCCTACGCTCCACCGTTTCTCCTTCCAATATTTCGACTTTCGCTATTTTCCCGGGAGGGTCACCCGTCATCTTCATTGCTCCGTCCGCTCCTGTGTGACCAGGTGTCCGCTACAGGACGTCCTGTAATTGGGCTTCCGTGAGCGCTCGCTGCTGTTCCCGTGAGAGGATGAGGCTCCTTTCCAGTGGTCCTTATGGATCCGCCGCTACACGATGGCCAGATCCTCTTTCCATCTCCTCCCGTTGCCGGTCATCGGCGAATGTCACAGTTCTGGCCTGTGCGCACTGCACAGTAACGGTTGCGCCGCGACCATGCGAACTTCCTCGTCACCGAGTCTACGGCCTCGGCCCGAGGTCGCCCGAGGCCCTCGGACGACCGGCGACGAACCACGGACTCTGTCCCTCGTCTGAGCCAGCCACGGGGTCATCGCCTTATTCAACCACATCCGAACGAGTGCCGGACACCGCAGCCAGAACATGGTCTTCGATTTGAACGTAATCCACTTTCTTTGAATTTCAAATAAAGTATTTGGAAAACTCTGTTCTGTTCGCACCGGGCGGATAAATACATAATTTGTAATTGTAAGGTATTTGTAAGTTGAGTTCGTTAGACCTCAGTAAATTTCGAATATGTTATTTTCAGCGTCTAACGAACCAAACGTAGAAAGTCCGTTATACTGTGTACCCCGTTACCAAGATATTCATGTAAGAAGCCTGAAAAGCCGTAAGTGGTTTTTTGGAAAAACAAAAAACAACTTATGCATATTTATTATAGTAAAGGGAGTATGATAATAATAATAATAATAATAGTAAATTGTAATACTATAAGCTGTGCCACTTAATAAACGAACGAAATCCAAAATCAATTGCTTTACTTCAGAGAACGTACAAAACACCTTGAAGGGTGTATAGTAGAGTACCATAGTTTCCTACATCTTTCAAACGCTGAGGATGTGTTGGATTCGGGTGACAACTGCCATTTGGTGTGAAGATTGGGCGGGATATGTGGTACCTTACGTCGGCACAAGTGACATACTCTTTGGGAGTTTTGAAAAGGACTTGCGTGCGTCAGTTGCTAACTGCTGTTTACCTTGATGTCTCCATTACCGAGACCAAGTTGCTCAGCTGAGCATCGATTCCCTTGTTCACAGCATGCTCTATGGAAATTTTAAAAATAAAAATGGATCTCTTTAAATAGACGTAAACGAAGAAAATAGAAAGGTTTCTGAGGTTTCCCGAAGCCTTTCTCAGGCTCTGCCTCTTGTTCCCACAGCAGTATCTCTCATTAGGCTGAATGTTTTAGATCCTCTCAGGACAACTGTTCCATTATCACTGTCTCATTGTAAACCTTGAAGTCTCTATTACCTCCTCGAGTCCTCGACCCTTCTTCTCTTCTGCACTTTGCAGAAGAGAAGAAGCCCTAAATTCTTGTAGCCTCTCGCGCCTTTTCGGGCTCCAAATTTTGAAATATTGTTGGGTGGTGTTGGTGCAAGTTTTGGCCCGTTTTGGCTCGACGAGTGTCTTCATAGCTCATCTGAACCAAAGTCCTATGAAGTCCTTATGTAGAATAATAACCCATATAGAAAGATGATACAACGCTCGAAGGTTCGTGTTTCAGCTACTCTTTTATGTATTTGCCAGTCATAGCATATGAACAATTGGAATTAACAGCACGATGATTGAAATCCAAATGCCACTGACTTTTTAGTCGACATGGACATTCAAAACTCTCACTCACCGAGCATTCTAAGTCTTTGGGCAAAGATGATTTGATCAATTAGAATTGCATCTGCAGGCCAGACTCCTGTGACATGCAATTGTTTGAAGCTCTAGCTCTACAAACTCATAGTTGAGTCATAGATTTTTCAATACAACATACTGGTGAAGAATTGCAATCACCATGCTGTGCACGACCAAGGGAGAGGCAGAGAATGAGGCCAGGTTGAACAACTCATGAAGAAGCCCGATTGAAATGAGAGGAACACATCAATGAGGAGATCAATATGTACTCATTTTCTGAAAAACACTACTCTACCCGTACAATGAGAATAAGTACCCCAAATTTGAACACGACCTAGCTCACTTGTGATCAGCGGCGAAAAGTACTTGTTCGAAATTCCTCGGTAGCAGGTCTGATTGGCACAGAATGGATGCGAGTGTGATCAATGGACTAATCACGCATTGTGAGAGTAATATTCAGGAAGTTTTGACTGATAAGAAGGCTGTCTCTCAAGCATGAAAGTATCAACCGCAGGAAGGAAGAAAGTATGGGGGATTGATTTGGCATCTGTATTGATTGGGCATCAACCTGGAACAGAAACGCAGTACAGTATCGAAGATAATGGTCTGAGTCTCCCTTGTCACGACGTTAGATCTGATCGTAGTAGCAAACTGGACTATTAACGTGGTGGCCCCGACCACAACCCAATCACGATGGAACCACGTGCGACGGATATTGATGGGTGGATGAAGGAAATCCAGTTCCGAGGAGGGCACATCGGTCACATAGCACAGCATAGCGTGGACACCCACCACCGGTGACCATGAGCCATCGGCTCCGCGACTGCTATTGCTATTCGGCGACGACGATCGCGAAACCCTATGACCGGAAGACCCGGTAAGACGCTGAGCCTGAGCTTGAGCCTGAGCCTGGTAAGTGGAAGAGATTCCAAGGTGGCATCGGTGTCGTGGTATCATGTATCAGCTATTTCGCCCGTTGACGACAGAACGAGAGCTCGGCAGTGCGGGAGCCATCGAACAATGATATTTGCGAGACCAATGATATGGGGGGCTGTCCATGGTGAGCGTGTCCTGTGTCCTGTGTCTCCTGTTCGGGGCTAGACAATAACCCCGGGTCAACGAAATCGGACATAAAAGGCTTGCCACAAAAGTGTGATTTGCCCTTGGAGGGAGCCTGTGCTCTGCACAGACTCGCAAGCCTGAGGTTCTCCGGGCCTCCAGTCATGATTCCCTTTCATTATTGAGACGAAGAATCGCTGTTTAGAATCTCTGGATCCGACGCGGCCGAGTTGGACGAAGCTGCCGCATGCACTTGTGGACAGCGGGTGTCGAGTTCATCCATTCCAGGTTTCTGCGCTCGAGTGAATTTACCACCACCTTCATCCGGAATTCCCCTCGCTTTGCTAAGTTCGCTGTGTGGGAAGATTCCACTCCGTCTCGGAAAGTGATGCCGAGTATCATGATCTGACGTGCGGTCAACACCATGTATGGCAGGCCACTGGAGCAGGAGCGAGCCACTGCTGCGTCCAAGCGAGAGGCCGAATGTGGACCAGAAGGAGACCGAAAAGTTATGTCTTTCGACTCGGCGAAAGTCAAAGTTCGACATTTAAGGCTTTGAGCAAGGTCACTTGACTCCCTTCTCCTGAAGTCCCGCTCTTGTGTTTTGGTAGAAATTGCTCAGAAAAATACTGAGGGAATCTGAACATATTTGTAGACGGAGGAAGGAAGGCACACTTGGTTATTAGAAACAGAATTGTAAGGCCCCGTGACCACTTCGAGGATTATCCCCACGTTGGAAATTACGTACAATCTCTTTCATGACTGATCTTACATTAACTCTTCGGATAAGTCGTTACATGTGCTCGAAAGTAAAGTCCAAGGTTGTGTTCATGTTGGCTACGGGGAGATATTAACTGGACGTCAGGAAATGTATGGGAACATATGATTTCGTCATACTGGGAGATTTGGCAGAAGATTTAAGTGTATACATCGAGCATCGTACATTCAAATCGGAATCAACCAAAAAAAAGTCATAGGAAACTCAGTTTAGAAAATCCACATGCATGCAGATCAGGAGGAGGGCTGCATGAATGAAAAGGTGCAAACACCGCAACGATCACTGCCGCCATGCTCAACTCATCTTTAATTATAGGAACAAAAGGTTTCAAAATAGCACGAACGCTACGGCACCCCTTCCAATTTCCAAACACCATACTGAAGGCTCTCCAGGTCTTCAAACATCGTAACTGAAAAAACAAGAGTTTATTTAAAATTTTCATTCAACCCTTTCGTTGTAATATCTATGGATTTGTAACATTCATGTTTGAAATCTGGCGAACGAAAGACATCCTGTCACGTGTTTGGAGGATTTTTAACATTGGAATTAAAGGTTGAAAGCTTTGAGATTATCAATTGTGCAATGAAACTCATCCTAATCATTCAGGTGTATAGCTGTAACACTAACTCTTCATCCTGAAGACATGACTCACATTCAGGTAAATTACTCATATAACTGCCTTCGAACACCCCAAAAGAAATCTACACATCAATTCTTTTTCTGTGTTTAAAGTAAACAGTTTGTATGAACTATCTACGGACTGAGGTTTGAAACATCTATTGTATTTCAAATGGTTTATACCCTCTTTTATCTTCAGATACCATAGCACAAAGAATAATCTTTATTGAGATAGTTTGAAATTTATTTGTTGGTCATGTTCTTCCCATGCATGCATGCTTTTTATGAGGTGTT